GTACGCAGTCTCTGTGGTCAGGTAGATGTCCATACGATCCCTTTTATCCAGAATTCCTACAAATTCTGTACAATAACATAGGTCTGGCCTCAGAAGATACAGTGTGTAAGTTTTAAAGATAAACAGACAGATACATAACCTGTTACAAACATATACTGCCAAAATGGAAAAAGAAGATCGATTCTTATTTAAAAGTTAGGAGATGAAAAGAGCCCATGAGTACTCTGGCTTATTCTAAAAATAGGAGAGAATTTACTTGTTTGCCAATTTTTTTTTCCAGAAGCCAAGCCATTCGTTCAGAGGAAAGGCTACACAGATTTCAGAGATTTAATTTTCCACAAGCACAGGCCGTAAATTAAAATACAGCAATCTAATCCCATTAATAGTGCAAGAAAAAGCTAAGTGGCTGCTTTGGTCTTTGCTTTCATGAACCTGTGTCAAGCTCAGTGACTTCAAAGAGATTTCCATTTCATTTCTACAAATGAAGAGAACAGACAGACAGAGAGTCTCTGCCATCCTCTGATGCCTTAAGAAAACAGAAGAAAAACATGCCTGTATCTCATTCGCCTAATGATTTTAGCTGCAAAAGGAATCCCATGGTCGGCAGACGACCCTCAGGGCAAGGGCTTGAGGTCTGTCACTGTATATAAGGCTTCTCCAAACCCACTCCATTATCTTCATTATTGTATACCAGGAATAAAAGGGGACTGACTCCTCTTCTGAAGTTCAAGTTAGAAAGGACAGAATGTTTCATGTAAAATAACATTGTGTGACTTCAGTAATAGGTTTATGCCTTTGGGGGCCTAATACTAAAGCTGCATGTAAGGATTTTCTGCAGAATTTGAGAGAAGAAAAAGGAGCACTGTATTAGCAATGAGTAAAATTCCACAAGTTTTAGCTTCACTGAAACACTCTGTGTCTCTGTGTCAGCATGACTCATTGTCAATCACATACTTTCATACAGCAAGAGTAAAATGGCAAGTTTGGAGGGGGGGGGGGGGGGGGAAGAGCATGGAGCTTTAGGGCTAAGTACAAACCCCTATGAAAACCAAAACCACACACATATGCAAGGAGGAAAAGAAAGTGACAAGCTTTTAGAAATTTCTTAGGAATGAGTAGGTAGCATGGCTTCCTACAGGGGACATTAGCCACAGGCATATATACAACAAATCAACATGGAAACCATTTATATGAACAGTGATGCTTCCCTTGTCAGCACATGTGGGGGTACATGGATGTGCTTACATACATGCATAGATACAGGTGTGCTATTCATGCACTCTGAGCAGTATGCTTCATAACACTGTAAAAATCCTTGTCCTTTACTGACAAAATGTATCAAGTATTAACTCTTACTTCCTAACAAACATAATTTAACAAAACCATTTACCTTATATCACTAAAGCTTCTTAAAACGAGCCAGACCTGTTATCAATATTTTGGAATATCTCACTTGTCCTTAAAACCCATTTAAGAAAAGAGAAATCCTTTCCCTGACTGATATGAGGTTTGGATCAAGACCTAAAGTTGTCTACCCAGACCTCCTCTTTTTTGCAGTTTTGAAGAAACGGGCCATTTGAAAAAATGCTTCAAAAGCACATTTCCCACAGTAATTCAGAAGACAATTTCAAACAATAAAAACAGAGTAAACACAACCCATTGTACAAGTTAAATAATATATAAACTTTTGAGTACATAGAGAAATGGGAATCTGGCTCGTATCTGGTCTTTGAAAGATTCACAGGAAATTGATTTAATTAAACCTCAGCTACTGGTGCAAATGTCTCCCTTTCTTCCCAAAGGGAAATAAAGTATTATATTATTGTAGTTGACATAATGCAGCAAGGCTTAACCAAGATTTTTGGTCTTCTCCTGCAAAGCTCCACAAAACTAGCAAGACTAAAAATTATTACTGAAATACACAGTGATCATGCATTGTTGAACTGTTACCTACATGTACTACCAAAGATTCCCACTTGTAACTTATCTTATTCACGGGGAAATTAATTTGACCTGGATAGGCTGGAAGAGTGAGCTAACAAGAACCTTATGAAGTTCAATAAGGACAAATGTAAGGTCTTGCATCTGGGAAAAACATAACCCAGGAGTGCAGCACAGGCTGGGATGCTACCCAAAGGGACCTGGGGGTGCTGGTGGACAACACACTCAATATGAGTGAACAGTGTGCTGCTGTGGCAAAGAAAGCCAACAGGATGCTGGGTTGCATCACCAAGGGCATCACCAGCAGAGATAAAGAAGTCGTTATCCCACTCTGCTCAGTGCTTATCAGGCCACACCTGGAACACTGTGTTCAGTTTTGGTCCCTGCTATGCAAAAAAGGTGTGAACAGGCTGGAGAGGGTCCAGAGAAGGGCCACAAAGATGATCAAAGGACTGGGAAGCCTGCCATATGAGGAAAAGCTGAGAGAACTGGGTTTGTTCAGCCTTGACAAAAAAAAGGCTTAGGGGAGACCTTATCACCACATTCCAGTATTTAAAGGGTGGCTACAAAGAAAATGACGACTCCCTTTTTGCAAGGAATCACACAGAGAAGATGAGGGGTAGTGGGTACAAGTTACTCCTGGGGCGATTTCAATTGTACACAAGAGGAACATTTTTCACAATGAGAACAATCAGCCATTGGAATAATCTCCCTAGGGAATTGGTGGATTCCCGAACATTGGGCACTTAAGATTCAGCTGGACAGGGTGCCAGGCCATCTTGTCTAGACCATGTTTTTGCCAAGCAAGGTCGGACCAGATGATCCTTGAGGTCCCTTCCAACCTGGTATTCTATGATTCTGTGATTAATATGCTAATTACCTGATTAGCAACCAGTGACGACTGACAACTTTACTTTAGCATTACGTGAAGAAGACATGACAATAAGTAGATTTTCTGCTGGAGTTCAAACAGAGAAGACATTGTGCTTGCAGTAGTACATGCTTCTTTTAGGCAAAGAGATTCATATTTGTGGAGGTTCTCTAAGAACAGTCTTGCCATCTGCACCCAGAAATATATATTTTTTAATTAGCCACTCTAAAAACAATCATGTTGGCTGAAGGGAAGGGGGAGGGAGACTTGTCAAAATGATGTATTTGTCCCTGAACCACCTTTCAGTGCGCTTATGCAAGTCTAATTTTCTTCCTAGCCAGCTCACCTCTCTGGCCTCCTTTTGTTTCATGTCCCATTTCCCATTCTCTTCTAACTTCTGAACTTTTGTTAGTTTGCTTTTAAGGAGAAAGGGGAAAAAAACCCCTTTCCTATTCATTTTTTCCTGGATGGGGAGTAAGCAGAGACATGAATATGGCACCCTCATAATGATTTAACTAGGGCTTAATGAAATTTTCATCACAACCTGCTGTTCATTTTAATGGCCTTTGAAAGACAATAGAACAATGGCTAGAGGGAAGAAAAGATTTTCTGTTGCATGCATTTGCAAAGCCCAACATTCAGCTGCTCCCCCTCCTCTCTCTCCCAATCTCTTCACAAAGCTGTAGATCTTTTTTTTTTGTACTGTATATTTTCATTTTAGTAGAGCTGAGATAATGCACAGGCTCTGTAACCATTCTCATGCCTATCTGTGGCCTTTCCTTAATGGAGCCTGTGCAGCTTGTACAACCTCATACTCAACAGAGTGTTTACACATTGCCCAGAATCTCCTGCTTTTTCCTCTCTTTTATATAAAAGTCTAGTCTCCTTTCCCCGCACCCCATACCATACACAGGAAAGATCTTTTCCATTTAAAGGCACAAGGTAGGTCATAGCATTGACCATTAAGTCAACATAAATGCAAAATGAAATGCTATGATTATACATAATATTCCAAAAAATGCTTAGACAAAGAATTTGTTTCCCAGCAGACCCTTACTCTGTGCTCCAGTCAAGAAGAGAAGACTAATTTATGATCCTGTCATGCTCATGTATGTGACACTGTGGCTGTGTTTGCATTGTATTTTCATTCCAATATGCAGGTTGTCCTAACATTTTCTTGTAGGTGCTGTAAATTCATGCTTCAACACTGAGGTGGGGTCTGAGGGCCATGCTTTTAAACATTTGAAATAGACTTCTACAACAGGATAGCTGGATGTCAATGAAAAGTGAAGTCTCATTACTATGCATTAGGGAATAAGGCTCAGTATCTTCACACATCAACTGGCTCACAGTCCCCTGGAAATGTAGCCGTAAATATGCATGCTGGTACCTATGGAAAACATAGCGAGAACTTCACCTTCCAGTCAGCGGTTTGACTCTGCCCCAAATAGGGAGGAATTGAAAATCTTACTTAAAGGAAAACTGTTCTATGGCTTCTCAGAGGTGAAATGTTCAGTCTTAGTCTCAGCCCACAGAGCACAAGTGGCATCGTCACTAACTGGACATACAGTCTCAAAAAAGAAACTGATTCTCCAGAGATGATACCTATATGCCAAGATTGAAACTTGCTGGTCAGACATAAGGCAGAGAAAGCCTCTACTGTGTCTGTTTGTATAGTACCTGCACTACAGATAAATAAAGGATGACATAATAGGACATGCTCCAGACAAAAACTTTTATGAATTCCGAATTTAACTTCTTACTTTTCAGATAATGACATGCTTAGTAGATAACTTCACAAAAAAGTTGACATTGCTGATAACACTGCTTTTTGCTCTAGAAATGGGGGAGAGGGGAGTAGTGGTGTAAATGACCCCCAGGCTGTTAAAACTACAGTGTTCACTGTGCCCATGTTGAGGAGGTTGCTGTGTCTATTGCCACTGTGACAAAAAGACCGTTATGTCAGACAAAGGCTCTCACTTGGGAAAAGCTAAAAATGTTAGCTATAATGGGATATTGCTGAAATTTATCTCTAATGTAGACAAGAACTATGAGTTCTTTACTTCGATTTTGCTAGCAAGAAAAAGCAACGGAGCAGAAAATGGGAAGATTAAAAAGTATACGTATCCAAAGAATCTGGAGAAAAGAAAAGAAAACAGAAAATTTTGGCCAGTTTCCCAGGCCTTACCTTCTGGCTCATTTTTGATGAGCTCTTCCATTTTTCTTTGCTTAAGGGTGTCTACAACATCCGCTAGGCTCCCTTTGCGCCTTTCAGGGGTTCCCAGGGCTGTGCTGGACAATGATTCTCCACTCTGACGCCCACCTTCTTCTGCCTTCAAGGGTGAGGTAGATGAGTTGTGCGGGGCAAATGAAGACATCACTTTATTGCCATCAACTTCCTGAAAGGGGAGAAAAATGAGATGAAACATTTCTCTCTTTTCTTAAAGAAGAAAAAAAAAGATAAAGATGGAAAGAAAGAACAATCCTTTGTTCTTTGAGTTCATTGCTGTTTGTTCTTCTGTGGAAACCTTTAAAAAGGCATGCAATGCTTCAAAAAACACCCAGAACAAAGCCTATCCATAAAGCACAAACCAAGATTACAGGCTGAAGTGAACAAAGATCAGCTTGCAAGAGAGAAACATAAAATAGTTTTTCCTTAATTGAGGAATGTTGTACTCATAGGTTTCCTAATAACAATGGTATTGATTACCTTTAATTGTTCATTCTTTTACAGCTTGCTTTCGAAAAAATCTTCAATTTTTACAGGGACCATTAATTTCCTGACTTTATAAAGTACTTAATGCCTTGATGGCTAGCTGTTGTAAGAAATGAAATAGTAACCAAATATTAAATGCCTTTCGCTATATAACTTATTTGAACTCACATAGTTCACGTAGTTCTCCCATCTATAAGCGATAAAGCAATTGTTTTCTATTTTCTAATTCTCTTTCTATTCTCCTCTTCCATCTCATACCTTCATTTCTTGTAGAGACAATATTTTTCACAAAGGTGGTCCTAATGACTTTCACTGGCAGCACAATGGCAAAATTCTGTGACTTCCTGGAACATACACACAATCCTCCTCACGTGAGAGTCCATAGAGATCTACTCATTAATTTTAATGGAAACCAAAACTGGTTCCAACATCTTCAAGCTTGCCTTCATTAACGTGAGAGTCTTCTCCTCCACGCCTCCTCCAACATAAAGCAGTGTTCTCTGCATATATTCCTTTCCCCTTTTATGTCTCTTTCATACTCTACCCTTCTGTACACACCTCTGAAAGCCTTTTTTCCCGCTGCTAACATATGCTATCTATACCTTGCAAAACTTAGGTCAATGTGTCCGAACGAAGCATGCTGCAGAGTGCATACACTGCATAATATATTGCTGCAAACATGAACAGTTTTTATTGTGATCAGATTCTCCAGAGTTGTTTTTTTTTCTTTTTCATTATCTTATTTCCTTACATTTCTGTATTCCAGATGTTTAATGAAAATTATTTCTAAAAAAGTCAGGGACCATCTTGTGATCTCAGTTACAGACTTGGTTGAAAAAGTCTTAATAATTTTTAAACTGTTTTCATTTTATAGGGTATGAAAGTGACACATACACTGGTTTTAGTGATTTCTGTTACAATTTTATCTTCTTTTTTTCCTGAGTAATTTTTGGTGTCCCTGGTTTAATAAACCCCAGTATTTCAGAAAAAAATGTGTCTTTTCATAAATAGAACATAAATTGCTAAAAACAATCTCAACAGAATTTGAATAAAGCAACACGGAAGATATGAAGTAAAGTATGTATTTGTTTTCACAGACTACTTCATTTTGGCAAAAAGATTACCTTTGGTTAAGAAAACTTTTAGTGCAAACAGTTTTGAGCAGCTTGAGTGTGTTATACTAGTGAATAAATTCCCTAACAGAATCGGATTTAACTGAGATTACAATCTGGGCCATCATATGCCCCAAAAGCCAAACCCAGTGATGTTAATGAGAGACTTTCTACTGACGTCAGTGAGCTTTTGACCAAGCCCTAAAAAATTTTCCGACTCTAGTCAACAGAAATGCCCCTTTTTTTTTCTTGCAACTCCCTCCGTTTTTGTTCTGCACTTGGAAAATTACTAGTTGCTAACACTGGACTTCAAAAATTAGTTGGATTCGAATGTAATTTTTTTTCACATATACAGACCTGAATAAACTGGTTTTTAACACTGATCTAGATGAGCAAAAGTTAACTTCAGCATCAGTTCAGATTTTATCTAACATTCAAACCTATTATCACCAAGTCGTAATTTTTTTCCTACAGACAAGACCAAAAGGGGAAGTATCTTGAAAGCTGCTTTCTTCTTCACACTTTGAAGACAGATAAGCCAAATACCATCCTTACTTACAGTTCTTAAATCCACCGGTACCATCAAATTATGTGTAGGAACAGTATCATTCCCAATTTTACCAGGAACTAGTTTCTTGGTTTTATTCCAAAGTGGGCCCCAAAGACATTCGTTTGTGTTTCTGTGTATGTCACACATTGGTCACAGACAAAAAGTACTTGCAACAGCTGCCTAAACCTCAGGAATCATCATTGCTGCTTCCATGTACATTTCCGGTACAGGCAAGTGTTTTTATATGTACAAATATATCCTGAGTATACGACAAGTTTGTTGTAAGAGAAGAAGCATAAGAACACAAGACTGAATTATACGTAAGGTAATACAAGGTGATTTTCAAAATCACGGATTGCTTGGCATTCAAATGGAACCCACGAGTATTTTCAAAACCACTAAAATTTCCCTGCCTCTTTTTCTGCGGAAAGGAAGGGGAGAGGACGAGAGTAGTTTGTGGGTAAAGCATCATGAAAGGACTCTGGATACTCAATTCCTTGTTCTTTTACATGTCCTGTGTAACCATGGAAAAAGGCACTTTTGTTTCTGCATTTCAGTTTCCTACCTGTAAAATAGGCACAAAAGAAGTAATTTCTTATATTGGAAAGGTCTTGGAATGATAACCTCATTAATAACACAGAGACGCCCTGATACTACGATATTCGCTGAAAGCATTTATATGGTATCACAGCTAGGAGGACTTCACAGCTGGACAAGAAAGGAAAAGGGAGTGCTCTACACAGATTTTTTTAAAACATAAACTATATATTAAAATATACATCTAAGTAATCGTCCCCAAAACAAAATGTTTCCTTAGACTGCTCTTGTTATGTGTGCATGTATGCAGTGTTTGCATATCACATACATGGGCTATTTATACACTTGTGGGGTTTAAGATACACTCCACTTAATCAAAACACATATACAGTAGGGGAACAGCTGCAATCACATCTCAGTGGGCTAAATTACAGTACACCAGTGAATTATTCATTCAAAAAGATCTGTAGCAATCACACATTCATTGCGTGATTTGCAGTCTAAGAGGAATCCTCTCCTTTCCATACCGGCGGATGAGTGCACACATCAGCTACTGCTGTTGATGAGAGTTCTGCATGTAACCTCCAGCACAGCAGCTCGAGAATTTGCCCTCCCCACTTGTCCACGATCTTTTTATTCTGTCATTCAGAACCACAACCTGAAATGCCCAACTGTTATCTTGGCTTTCGCTTTATGTCCCTCTGTTTTATTTTGTTCTTTCTTATGTCATTACTGGGGAAAGTGAAAAAGAATTTTCAATGGTTCTGGATTTTTACTTTAACCAGATAAAAAGAAAGGATACTTCCGCATAAAACCTACTCATGTCAACGGTTACATAAAGCTAAAAAACTTCTAGCAAAGAAACCCTTCTGATACTATGTATGAGAGTTTAACTATCCCCCTGAAAACACTCAAGAGAAATCCTTAATGGTAAGAAAGATATGTCAGCAACAGTTTAAAATTAATCCCCTGAGAAGGAAGTTCCCTCCCAACAAGTGAGATTTAGCAGGTTCCTTTTTTTGAAAGGACAAATTCACATGACTTTTTTCAGTTAACGGAGAGAAAAGCAACAACCCTGTGAAGCGTGGTATTAAAAAACCTAAATATCTACTACTGACATTCTAAACTGAAGTCCATCAAGCCACACACAAGACCTATCTCTCAGTCACCAAAACGGTGGAAAAACAGACACCCTTTCACAAGAGAACAGTCTCTTGCAGCCGTGTAACCATTTCACCTGTTCAAGTTTGATTACATTCCCGCCTCTGGCACTGTTAATCCTGGTAACAGTTTTATGCAGTCAGCAGCTGCTTCATGGATGGGGCTCTATTGTCCATTTGCATTGCGAACTGCTCTGCTAATGTGTGCTGGCACAACATTTCATCCAACTCTGAGCTGGGATTGTACTCACCAACACCTGATGCTGCTGCTTCTTGCTCTTCCCACTTCGGAAAGACAGACAAGGACCTACACAGATCCTGCTAAATCAAACACCCTAGGCCCTTCTTTCCCCCATAACAACAGCAACAAAAAAAAAGGACTGGCCCACGTTTCAAGTCTTCTGCTTCTGTTCCAAGCTAGAATCCACAGGTAGACTTGTTCATTTACAAGAAAGTTGCCTCTATATTGCCAAACAGCTTTCCACCTATGGAGGAAATACCTCTTCCAAGGTTTAATGATAAAACAGGCTTCTGCCCTTTCAGGATGAGGTCAATAATCTTCCTTTGTTAATCTTGGGCAAGCTTTACTTAATCTAGCCCCCTTGTCACCTTTGTGATTGACAGGAAAAGTCATGTCACTGGACAATGGACTTACCCTCACTGAGCAATATCTTTTTTAAAGATTACACAATGTTACCCTTGCTCTCATAAAAAGCGCAAACACTTTGCTCTTAAAAGAAACTATTCATTCCATTTGTATCTTTCAAATGGTCTCTCTCCATTTCCAGGGTCCAACCGAGGCCTATTTCAGTTCTACAGAGGGACAGTGAAACACTTAATGAAAAGAAACAGGTTGTACTTGGTGAGATGTCCAAAATATCTCTTAGTGCTCTAACTAGATGTCATCTTCTCCTTCCTCATCTAGAGATGCATGTTATTCCTATCTGCAGTTAAACTCAGACAACTCTGTTTCTGTGGCATTAAAATTTTGTCCCAAACCAACCAATAATCAAAGCAGAAGAAAACTCAGAACTAAGTCTGAAACTGTTAATTACCACCATATGGCATGCAAGAAGGCTGCATCTGCAGGAAAAAAAAAAAAAAAATTATGAGAATCAAGCCTCTGGCTTTGCAGCCAAAAACACCTGGAATAAAATACTTCTGTCTCTAGAGCAAGAACTGGTATCATCTGATTTTAAGAAGCTTGTGAGCCTAAAAGCAACCTAACAGGTTCTTTTTTCAAAGCTGGAATTTTGCCCATACCAAAGTATGGGCTCTTTTAGAATGTGTAAAGAAAATACGAAAGCAAATTTTTTGCTCTGCT